TAGCAGCCAGCAGAACCCACCTCACCTGTAAGTTCTCCGGCCTTCATCTCCTCTCCTCTCTACTTCCACTTCTCAATTTGCTTTCTACTCTTTCTTCCTTGTGAATTATGGTTCCACCACTGAGTGTTTTGATGTGAGCAGAGAGCTCAATTTTGGCTTCCGCCGTCCCGCCTAACTAACTGAACTTGAGCCTTGGCGACTATTAGCTCCCCTCAGATGCACAAACTTGGTGCCATTCTTTGCATAGGAAGAATTTCTTGATGGGATGGAGCTATAGGGCCTAGGGTGGGTTACCTTGTTGCTCTTGGCAAATCTTCCAAAGTTTCTTTTTCCAAAAAAAAGCAAGAAGAATCTGGGCTTGGTGCTTGAGAATTCTGACCAGTTCATCTTCCTTCCTTTGGTGGGTGGGTGTGGAATATGCCACGCCCTGCGAATATTCAAAATTCTACATTCTTTCTTTCTTTCAGAAAATTGGTGTGTTTGCAGCCCCCCCTCGTGCGTGCCCAGTTTCATTCACAACAGACATCCTGTCCAGTCCAGATCCAAAACACACGGCGGTCTTATTCCTTTTGACCTCCAGTTTAATTAACTTGGCCCTTAGGGGATTTCCTTGAGGATTTTCTCTACTAAACAACTCCACTAGTGTACTGATTGACTTATATTCACACAACTTATTTATGGGTTCAGTTCAGGGGCAGGGTATGTAGGTGGTGTTTCCTTCTTTCTTTCGAACCATGCAGGTCAGGAGAGCTGCATGTATGTAAACATAGTAATGCACAGGTGCCAACTGCAGTTTTGCGTACACAAGTTAATGCATGGTCTGCTCGTTCCTCGCTCCTCCATAACTGACTGCTCAACAGCATTTCAAAATTTTCCATGGCCATGGGTCCATTCTCTCTAGTGCCACAAGATGATAACTGTGTTTTTCTGTAGTGCCGTCGTCATCTTTTCCATGTCTCAACTGTAGATTTTCCACGCGGGACAGTGAAACAAATTGGCGGCGCGCGGAAAGGAAACGGAGCCACACGCCTGACCTGAGGTTTGCAGAGGGAGGTTTCCAGAGGCAGAGGGGGATAAGGCAGGCAGGCAGGCAGGGGATGAGTACAACCAAGGTGAAGAGGCGTGTGGGCAAGTATGAGCTAGGGCGGACCATCGGCGAGGGCACCTTCGCCAAGGTCAGGTTCGCCAGGAACACCGAGACCGGGGACCCCGTTGCCATCAAGATCTTGGACAAGGAGAAGCTTCTCAAGCACAAGATGGTCGAGCAGGTCACTCTCCAACGCCCACCCTCTAATTTAACCTTGTCATGCTCCTCAATCATCATTTCTTGTTTCTGGTCA